AGTACCAGTGTGTTTTTGTGCTGTGGGAGGAAACTGGAGCACCCAACAAAAACCCAGGCACACACAGAAAGGACATATAAAACTCCATGTACATACTGTAGCATCCCAGGAATTGAACCCAAGCCCTTAGTGATGCTTACCATGGAGATGCTAACCACTCCACCACTATGTCTCCCATATTGTATATACAGTATACTGTACAGTATGTAAAACACATACAGTATGTACACATGCACGTGCTAACATATATTCAAAATAGTACCCTGACTTATATGTCAGAGGACCTCAAAAAGTATTGTGTGACAGATTTTTATTGATCAAGCAATTTCATGAATATTTTATTTTTATAACATTTTGTTTCAAAAAGAAACAAAAAAATAGGCCTATTCATGCTGGGGGAAACAGCTCCATAATTTCACATTTTAAGTACAAACAGTTATGCATCACATGACAAAACTGGTTTTACTTCATGTTAAAGAAAATTTCCTCCTTGCTGTTTGGTCACAAATATATCACCTGCGTTCAGGCATCTCTCCCAAACCGCCTCTTCTAGGCTAGTGTCCCAGATCACTTCCACTATGTGTGCTTCTTCCTCATTGTCTCTATTCTCTTCAGAACTAATGACCTGTCTTTTTTTCTCCCCTTTCCATAACTATCAAATGGATGGCACACCACCAGTTCTCCACTTAACTCTCTCATCCCTCGCTTCTTGACCCCCACCAGTTTGGCATTCACCCAAAACACACTATTGAAACTGCTCTTCTCTTAGTTACCAGTGCCATTCAATCAGCTCATCCTTCTTCCCTATCATCAGTCCTAATCCTCCTTGACCGCTCTGCTGCCTTTGACACTGTGGATCTCACTATCTTTGTGTGAACACTTGCTGACCTGGAAACCCCTGCCACCATTTACACTTTTTTTCTTGGAAAATCATATTTACTGGGTCTCAGTTTCCTCCCCTGCCCTCACACACGTTCCAGTGGTGTCTTCCAAGGCTCTGTGCTGGATTTTTTCTCTCTTTACTCCTGCTCCTTAAGAAGTGTGATCACTGGCTTTTCATTTAAACCTCTTTTAAAAAGAGCAGATGATGCTCAGATCCTCTTCTCTTTTTGAGTCTCTGAGACAATGTTTTCTTCTATATTAATGCTTCTGTCCACTCATCAAGTGCACCTTCCTGGATGTGCTCACATCTCAGACTGACACTTTCTTAACCTGGCGTCCTTTTCTTTCATTTATCTTTTTTCCCCTTCTCCATTCCTCTTGACTCCATTATGTCTTCCCCTTCCTCTTCCAAGTCATTCAGTGACATTCTTGTCTCCTCTTTCTCCTCTTTCTCCTCCATTCCTAAACTTTCCTCTTCTGGTGCACTTCTGGTATTCTTCTCAGGATCTGCCCCTTCTTCCCTAACTTGCCTACACAACTTCTAACTCACACGCTCAGCTGAGTAATACAGCTTTGAACTGCTCCTAGTCAGTGATATCCTAACACTTAACTGGCATATTCTCTACATCTTTTCACTTGTGAGACATACATGAGGTATGTCCCCACTTAATTAACCAACTTTTGACATCTCCTCAAGACAACACCTATGACTTCTCTCACATAGCTGTAAAAGTTTACCACCAACTAACATCACACAATACAATCTACAATCTGCTCAATGACATTTCCTCTTTATTGTAATAACCTAATAATAATCATAAATATATATATATTTTAAGTATAATAATTATTTTTCTGTAGAAAAACTATTGACTCCAATTGTATTTTGCCACATTTTGTGTGTTACAAATGATAAACACAATAGACTTACATTTTTTCCCCTTTCATCCAGACAACATCCTCTACTATATCAATATGTTTAAAACTCTGGAGCTAAAAAATAGTTAAAAATAAAACCCTGAAAAATCATAATTTAAAAAGTATTCACCCCCTTAAAATGAACGCTGCTTAATGAGCTCATTTGCCATTTGCCTTCAGAATTTGTTGATTGCAATCCACCTGTGTGCACGTTAATCAATCAGATTGAACACTTTGTGAAGTTAAATACACTTGTCTGTGTGAGTTCCCAGGACTGGACATTGCATACAAAGCAAAGACAAAAACAAAATAGTTTCCACAACAACTAATAGAGCTGTGGACAGACACAAGTCTGGCGAGGGATATAAAAAGATTTCAAAGGCATAAGTATTCCACAGACTACTGTTAAATTAACTATCAGGAAGTGAGGGATACATAAAACTACTCAGAATCCTCAGCAACCAGTTTGTCCTCCAACATTTAGCAGCCTGGCAAGAAGCACATCGGTCAGAGAAGCAAGCAACAGCCCCAAAACAACCCTCAAAGACCTTCAATGTCACAAAATTGAGATTGGAGAAATTGTGAGTGAGTCAACAACAGCTCACAAACTCCATAAACCTGGGCTATAAGGTAGAGTGCTGAGGAGGAAGCCATATTTGAAAAAAAGCTCTCATGAAGTCCTGTTCTGAATATCCAAAAACTCATGTGGGAGCCTCTGAACTGATGTGGAAAAAAATGTGGTCTGTTGAAACACAAATTGAGTTATTTGGCCTATGTCTGACAAAAGAAGAGCGCTACTTAACACTTAAAAAACACTATTCCCATACTGAAGCATGGCGGTGGCAGCATAATGTTGTTGGGTTGCGTTTCATCAGTAGGGAGTGGTATATTTGTTAAAATAGAAGGCAGAATGGATGGAGCAAAACCTGGAGCAGTCAGCAAAAGATTTGAAACTGGGACGGAAATTCATATTTCAAAAGGACAAGGACCATAAACACAAAGCCAACGCAACCCTAGAGAGGCTTAAAAAGAAGAAGGTGGAAGTCCTTGAGGGGCCCTGCCAAAGACTTACTTTAAATACCATAGAAAATTTATAACAGGAACTGAAGGTTGCTGTACACCACTGCTCCCCCTGTAATCTGCAACAGCTGGAGCAATTTTGCAATGAAGAGTAGGCAAAAATTAAACCTGCAACATGTGAAAAGCTGGTAACAACATACTGTACCACAAAAGCCTTGAGGCTGTAATTGCTGCAATAGGGGAGCAACTAAATATGAAATGTTAAAGGTTTTTCAGTTTTCTATTTTTCACAAAAAAATTTACAATGAAAATGAGTATGGCCCATCAAAATGTTAAGTATGTTTTGTTAATCCTGCTCAAATGTGTTGCAATTTAATGTTTTAACACATTACAATGTGGTGGAGGTCTAAGGGAGGGTCAGTGCTTTCAACACCCTCAGTACTCTGCATGTTGTTTACAGATCAATAGACATTGTCTTCACTGTGCTTTGAGAAGCACAATTATTAGACTCACTATCATGTAGCATATGAATTGTTTTAAATCCTTAAAACAAAACAAACAGAAGGACAAGAATTATATACAGTATATTGATCTCCTATTTAGAAGATTATGCCCTCAACGTGATCACTTTTTATAAATTATGCAATTCATTTTTTTCTTTTTTACAGCTGTAGCTGAAGTCATATTATTTTAGGATATAAAAGCACTGAACATAAAAATGTGGACAGAAGTATATACATGCTGTAGACAAGCGTTTTCAACTAGAATGACCTTCACTGACCATTGCCGTGAAATCTTTTCTGACGGCAGCCTGTAACAATGGCTCACACAGGTGCAAGCCAACTCAATGCTTCTGTGAACAGCCACTTTAATTGGCATTCTGCTCACAAAAAATCAAGAAGGCTGTCCTAAATGTACATGATGAGAAGTATTTTTTTCAACATTTCTGTTTCACTGGCTTTAACTGATGTGTGGTTCTAGGTTGTATGATAGTATTTTAAGTTCAAATCATTATATTTCTTAAAATAAACAAAAGAAGTAAAAGATACAATTACAGAAGAACACAAAATAAACCAAAGATAAGACCAAATTCTGTAAATGTTTAAGACATTAGCAATAAATGAATAGATTCAAATATATTAGCTCCAGCCCAAAAAATGGAATTTCATCTTGTGACCCACATACTGTAAAACAAATACAGTAAACAAGCAGCACAGCACTTTCAAAAAGGCCAGGGGTTATTTCACAACACCTCCTCATGTTACATGATACTTACTATGTTTTAAATCTAAAAGTGTCAGCAACTCATTCTCTGATCCTTACAAAATACTGGCAGCCTGTACTCTAATGAGCAATAAATCAGTACCACAACATTCTAGCGAAGGAAAATGAAAACAACAAAAGTTATTTTATGGACAGAAAACTATAATAAATCCAGGACAATCTCAAGTTTAAAAAGAACTATCAGCGGGACATCCTCTAAAATACTTAGGTGACTTCATCAGCATCTTCATAAGTGTCCAGTGGTGCAGAATTTACCAATAAAGCTAAATCTGACTTTAGTTTATTATGTAATTTAAATGTTAGTAATGTATAATAGTTTTTGGATTGTATTCATGGGACATGTGTTAATATTTTTTTTAATGCTATAGACATAGTTGTATTTTCAGTTAATTTACCAATTGAACAAGAACATCTATAGCGTTTACTGATTAGGATACTCTTTTTAATTTTTATTTTAAAAAAAATCAGTTCATGAAATTTATTTCCTTTAATTTTTCCCCCTGGCCAACAACCTTAACAGTCTTTGTTTTTAACACATACCATCACTGTAATTGCTGCATTGTATTCAGAGAAGTGTATGTGTATGTTATAAACAGTCAATATATAATATTACAGGTACTTTTATTTAATTAAAAACAATTGCTGATCGATAAACTATATAGGGTCAGGAAGATGAATACAATGCATTAAAGGTGGACACATAAAGTATAATGGAATTACAGGAATTATCTCAAATAAGTGCTTTTACTGATTAATGCATCCTTGATTATTATTGGTTGAATTAAAAGGGATATCAGGATGTAGAATAAAGGGAATATATTATTTAATATATAAAACCTTTTAAGCATCATTTGTTTATAAAATGTGTTTAAATTTTCACTTTTTGTTTTTTACAGGAATTATTAGGACTGCTCTTCCCAGTATGGACAGGGAGCTGAAGGATCAGTATCTTTTGGTAATTCAAGCCAAGGACATGGTAGGACAAATGGGAGGATTATCTGGAACAACCTCTGTCACTGTCACTCTCACAGATGTTAATGACAATCCACCACGCTTCTCACACAGTAAGGATACTGAATTTTACTATTGCCCCTTTACTGATGCGCGTTAAAATTCTAAATCAATACATTTTATTTTGTTTATTTGTTCTATGTTTCATTAAGGGAAGTTTAATTCTGAGATGTTTTTGAATCCCAGAAAAGAGGCTGTGTTCTTTACATTGTCCTCTTTTGCTCAAACTTTTTAAGTGATGTACCTGTAGCTCTTTTATAATCTTAAAAAGTTAAAAATCTATAGCACTCAGTTCAAGTTAGCTTATACTGTATGTAGTGCAGGAATGTATTCTTATGGCTGATGTGAATCCAGTATTCCTATTAGATACTGGATACATGCCATTACATGTAACATCTGTAGCAATGTTTGGTGATGTCAAATGAACTGCAGACAGAAAGACTCTGAATTTAATTGTCCTTGTGAAGGTGAGTGTAGTTTGATTTTTTTTAAAAACTTATGAGGATGCATATAATAAAACTTTTGTAATAATACTACATTAACCTTTGTTTGCAGAATGATGCCTTTATCCTTTTAGACATCATGTTTTCATGGGTATCAAGGGATATTAAAAAGGAGATTATGAAATTTAAGTTTTTTTTATGATTTTGTTTCCAGGTGACCATAACATTTTTATGTTACAATTCATCACAGTATGGACTATAGAACGTATGGCAAAAAAATGTAAATGAGGTATATGATGCTGTGAGTGCAGCTTTAAACACTGAAAAACAGATCTGTGCTGATGCATAACAGTGTCGTATCTTGAAGCAAAAGTAAAAAGTTAAAATAAACTACTGGGTTAATCTAGGTAATACTGCTGAGTAGGGGGCTCTTTTAAACTGTAATAGCAAGGTCATTGGACAGAATCAATATTTTATTATCACCCACCATGTACACTAGTGATTGCTAACTCAGTTTGCTACTTTCCATTTGAGATCCCAGCAGGCTCAGGATCAAGGGATTGAAAAAAGGGAAGCAATTTTGCCATTTAAGGTGCAGCCATTCCACGGTGTATTAAAAAGCCATCAAAAAAGATTATGCGCTGGCAAACAACGTTAAGTAAATTAGCATTTTGAAACAAAATGGCTAATCAAAACACTGCATAATATCAGGCTGCTGAAGTGGAGAAAAAAAGCTTTAATAAATGTCTGCAGTTGTGTTTGTGGATTGTGATTATGACTTTCTGAGTGGGGAAAAAGCATGTAATTAGGTTTTATAGGTAAGGAAGAAGACTCATCAGACAATTTGTTGAATCAAGGAGAAAAATATGCCTTATCAAAATATTCACTTTGGTTCTTGTTTAAAGGATTTATTTCTTTATGAAGCTTATCTAATTTTAACTTTACATCTGAAAAATCCTGATTCTTTGGAATTAGCTCTATGTTATCAGTTATAGGTATTCTGTATAGTACTGGATCTGCTCTATCACCTGGCAATTGTTCTCCCAACGGTATCTATTGTACTCTTTCTTTTGTAATCCCCATTATTAAAAAAACATTAAGAACTGTGAGAAGGAGAAATAAATTGTACAGTATTTTTAAATTTCGAGGCCAAACATAATTCCTCCAACGATACTGAAGTATTTAACGACTTTTTTAATACTTCAATTTCATAGTAAATTGTATATACTGTGTACGCACAATTATCTTGTGAAATGGATCTAATTAAGAATAGGCATTGAAAAAGCTTTTCTAATAATGGTGCTCATTTATTTCAGAAACATTATTTTCAATGGCAGAAGTGCCCAGCTTGTTTAAACCTGTTTGTTGTGACATCTAAACAGACATTTGAAGAAAGCCACTTGGAGACAAAATCAGTTCAATCAGCAAAGTAAAAACTAAACAGCCTAGCTGTTTAGAAAACGGTTGATAAGAGCAAGAAAATTGCCTCATCAATAACCATGTTGGGTTTTGCAGAAATCTATCGATATAAGGTGCCTGAGTCTTTGCCTGTAGCATCCATGGTAGCAAAGATAAAAGCTGCTGATGCTGATGTGGGACCAAATGCTGAAATGGAATACAGGATTATAGATGGGGATGGCCTTGGGATGTTCAAAGTTTCTGCCAACAAAGAAACTCAGGAGGGAGTCATAACTCTTCAAAAGGTAGTGTACCCTAAAGATGTATGAATTCAGAGCATTTTGTAAACTGTTTTTTTTCCTTTCATAAAATAACTGTTAACGTAAATAATTTTCATTTCTTAATTTCAAAATAAGTTCATAAATAAGTTTGATCTCTGTTTATTTAACAGTTACCCCTTTCAAATTATCTAGACAACAGTTGTCCTTTACCATAGTTTTAAAGAATGTCTTATAGTCTTTTTGTTTCTTACCGATGTTCATATTAATTTTATGTAATTTTTCAGAATGGTCACTAAACATAAGAAATTCACTACAGGAGGGGGATATGTTAGTGAAATTGAAAATTTCTATAACAAATTCTGTACAAGGGTGTTGGGAAAACAACACTTAAAAACAAACCTGGTAGTTTGAGAATATTTTTCTTTAAATGTTAATACTGAACATAAATATCAAAATTGCACTTCTTTGAAGTTGTATCCATTAAAATAGGCTACAAACTCTTACATTATAACTGGTTTAAAAACATTATTCAATATATAATAATTATTTGGAAGTTGGAAGGTAGAGTCCAATTTAGAACAAGCATGCTGACTGAACTAGGAAATTGCTAGGTTTTTTATTACTCATTTTACAGAAATACACTTTCTCTCGAGTTGTTTGTAATGTGAGATTTTAGAATTTAACATGTTAACTCTTCACACTGAACTTAGAAGCTTAAAAGTGGAAGGAATTGAAGCAATAGCAGTGATATTTCAAGAGATTGACTACTGTATATTAATGTGCTCAGTTAAGATAATGTATCAATGCTTTTGTGATTGCCTGACCAATTAGCACATGGCCTGATCACTTCCCTGTGGAAACACTTGAAAAACATTATGTCACATATATTCCTAAATTGAGAATTAATAATACATCTAAAAACTGACAATCTCAAAAAGAGTAATGATGATGATATGTGCAGGACATCATATTCTTCAGAATATGTACAAGTATTCAGTATAAAAATGGCTATTAACTACTGAAAGAAGAAACATAATGCATTGTTTTTATTAACAATGTGGAGAGTAGCTAAGGATTGTGCAGCTTTTATGACTTTAAAAATGTGTGATTGATATTTAGAAGCATATTTTTCGCTTGTATTTTTTACAGGGGCTTGATTTCGAAACGAAAGAAAATTACACTTTGAGAATTGAAGCTACAAACAAAAACATTGACCCTCAGTTTCTGAGCCTGGGGCCCTTCAGTGACATAACAACAGTCAATATCACTGTTGAGGATGTGGATGAACCACCAATCTTTACATCTCCACTGAACAAAATGATTGTTTCTGAGGCGGCAAAGGTTGGCACTATCATTGGAACAGTATCGGCACATGACCCAGATGCCTCTAACAGTCCAATTAGGTATGCTAGAGAAAATAACCTTTTATTCCATTTTTCTTAATGTATTAAGTAATGTGATCATTTAACATGAGCAGCTCTCAGGTGAAGGGAAAACATCTTCATAAAACATAGATAGATCATTAAAAGATATTTCATCCTTCTTACATTGATTCTTACATCTATATTTTCTTACAGTAGATATAATCTTTGTGTTATTACAGTTGGTCACTCCTTGATATGATTATACAGCCGTCTTCAAAACTGGTCTTTAAAATAAGACAGTCTGAGTATTCTGGAAGAATCAGGGGACTCAACTAGACATTTTTTACACAAATATTTTTCAAAATACCTTTGTATTCTCCATCCATTCAAAATTATTAAGTGATTTTCAAGTTTGATTTCCTTTGAATTTTTTTAAGAAAAATGTAGATTTAAGATTTTAAATCATGCAGTAGATAATGTGCAGCAGAGGTGGTGATGAGAATAACAATAAGCACTTTTTGTAGTTAACCGTATTTTTTTAAATGGCATTGGCATTTCATTTGGAGAATGGAAAAAAGTGGAATACATCAGAACACAGGAACACTTACAAACAAGAGGAGGCCATTTGTCCATCTAAGTTTGGTCGTTAGAAGATAAGTATTCTCAGTATCTCATCCAGCCATTTATTGAAAGAAGCCAAGATATAAGCTTTCAGCAACATAACTGAGTAGCTACAAGCCTTAAAGAGTGAAAGTGGGAGAAGTGAAGCAAATTATACATCAGCGTAAAAACTCTGAAAATTGGCAGCTTTTTTTAAGTATCTGGATTTTAAATTGCCTGTTTAAAACTATTTTGTTATAAAGTAGATTGCACTGGGTTTGTTGTTTATTTTGCGACATTTAAATTTAATTCAGTTAATAGGAAGAAAATTGACTCTCCTCAAAATACTGTATGTTCCACTCTTTTTGCAACGCGGTTACCCCACTGCCAAACTGTTTTCTCTCTTTTGTCTTACCTGAGCAATTCACTTCTGTCTCTTTTTTCATATTGCAACCATCCCGGATGTCTGGTGCTTTGTGATCATTTGTGCATTCAGGGTCCATATGTCAAATCAATATGTTAGTGCAATCTAGCAAAATAGTTAATCTTCCAAAAGCACCCAAGCTTCATCCCTGTATTTTGGACATATGGTTCACTAAATTATATTAATTCACTAAAGTATCCACAGAAAAAAAAATCATCACTTGGCAATATTAGTTAGACATACAATAATTACGAAGAGGAAGAATGAGAAAATTAAGCTCTGTATAAAACAAATACAGAGCCATATTACTTAAAACCACATGGAATAATCACTTTAAATAAATCAACAGCAGCTTCTGTAGACTTCCTAGATTTCTAAAGCACCAGCACCTGAAGAGCTTAATTCAATCCAATTAAACTGATAATGAGCAGATTAAGGTTCTTAAGAGCTGGATTTGAATGAAAAACTGTGGACAACAAGTGACCTTAGACCAGGATTTGATATTTATAATATTACAGAAAGTCTCTTAAGTGTCACAGTAGATTTTGTTTCCTCAGAATAATCTTAGATGCCATCAAAGGATATGTAACCATGAAATTAAAAAAAAGTACTCCAGACAACTAGATTTTCATTTGTATGTATAATTTGGCTACTTTCAACTACTGTTTGTTTACAAATTGAGACACAAATACAATTCATCACCTAGACTTCAAATTGAAAACCTTGACAAAAAGCTGGATTTTATTAAATGACATTTTTTCTCATCATTCCAGATATTCAATAGATCGTAATACAGACCTTGAGAGGTTCTTTAATATTGATGCCATGACGGGAGTCATTAGTATAGCGAAACAGCTGGATAGAGAAATGAATGCAGTCCACAATATTACCATTTTTGCAATGGAAAGTCGTAAGTATTACAAAACAAAGATTTCATTTGTTTTATATTCTTTTCTTTTTAATACTTAAATAATCAATGAATAAATCATTTTTAATCTGCTCATTTTGAATTAGCACTATTTGGTCTAAGAAGTGATACCGTATGTATGTCACATGTTTGTCTTTAATTCATTCAGTGTACTGTAATTCAATAAAAATATAAAATTATATACTGAACATAAAAAGAAACATATTACACATTGCCTGTATGTTTATAAAAAAATAAACTTCACAGATTTGGATACCGAAGAAATGTTTTTGCTGTTGTATGCATTGATAATTCTTGGCAGATCTTGATACTCTTGGGAAATTTTGTCTATTGCATAAGCTTTAAATAATTATTGAGAAATTATTTGGTAGAGGTGATGAGGTGGTATAATCTGTTGAATGTTAAGACTTGTGAAAATAAAAACACAAAAAGGAACAGTGCCTTGAAAAAGTATTCAGACCCTTGCAATGTTTTTTTTGCATTTATTTGTTTTGAAACTTGCTGTCATAACACTTTTAAGCACCAATTAATATTTGTTATACACTCAACGTACTCCACACATCTGGAAAAAATAAACTAAAAGAAATAAGTAAATAAATTGTTAACATGAAATAAAAATGCAAAAGTAATTGTTGCATATGTATTCAAACCCTTTGCTGTGCACAAAACTACATTGATGAGCCACAGTTAGTTGACTGGCATCTGTCTTTGAGCAATAGTAGTAGTTCATATTATTATTTCAGAATAAAGTAAACCTGTGTTTTTAAAGTCCCCCAGTCAGGTAGAGAATGTCATACAAAAAGTCAACAATGAAGACCACGAAGCTTTCAGAAAAATTCAGAGATATAATAAAGGCAAGGATTAGGTGAAGGTTCTGTATTTAGGTGAAGACCTTCAATATTTATTTGAGCATAGTGAAGTCATTAAGAAGTGGAAGACAGTCAGACACCTCCTTCACCAAATTGAGCAGCTGGGAAAGAGGAAGACTGGTTAGCGATCCCACAGTGAGTTTAAAGGCTATTTACAGAGTTACAGAGTAATGATGAGTTTTGTGGCTGAAATTAAAGAAAATGTTCATGGGTCAACAATATCTTAGTCATAAAAAGGGCCTTCTATGGAACCTGAGATGGAAACATCCCAAGACCTGCCTGGGGTTTTCAACAAAGACCTAATTGATACTGCAAATATGCGGCAAAAGGTGTTGTCAGACAAGACTTTTTGGTTTAAATGCAGAGTGTTGTATCTGGCACAAACACATAATGACTGAGTGCATCACTCTGTCAACACCATTCTTACTATTAAGAATTGGGTTGTAGTTCTGCTTCTCATCAGCAATGATTGGGAAGATTGATGGGAACATACTGTAGGTGAACAAAATACTGGCAAGTCTTGGCGTGGTCCTAGTCAAAATCTTAACTTGAAATTTATTGAGATACTGCAGCAATCCCCAAGTAACTTCAGAGATTTTGAACAAATAATTATTGGAAAATAGCCTTAAATTGCACCAAGCTAGTGTGCACAAATTATAGACACTTGCCAAAAAGGCTCTCAGCTTTGAATTGACAATATGTACTTCCACCAAATATTCATGGGTCAGTTCTGATTATTTATGCAGCATAATACCTGTATTTTTTACATTTGTGGTGATAATTACTGTAACTTATCTTAAATATTAAGAAAATATTTGGTTTAAGGATATAGGTATTGAATAAAATATTAAGTTTAAAAATGTGTATGCCTCATTTTGTAATTGCATAAAATGGAACACCATAGGAAGAGTTTGCAAAACATTGCATGCTTGGCTTAACAAAAGATCATGTCATCTAGCCACCTTTATGTTGGTGATGGAAATCCTCTTGAAAACAAGATTTTGTATACACGATTGTGGTGCAGACATGCAAGAGAAGACACTAATTCTTGTGTACAGCAGGCCAATTAATGAAGTAATGGTCTGAGCTATAGATGTCTGCTGCAGAGCTCAATTTGATGGCAACATGATTGCATGACACTACAATGATCATGGTACAGTACCTCTGTTCCTGCAGGTTCATTCTGACATGTCATGGACTAGGGCAGTGTCCCATTAGATAGCATCAGAAGTCTTTTGCAAAGCATATATCACAGATATTTCTACTGATGATGGCCACTCATGCCACTAGCCTGTCACTTTCAGAGTAGGCCCCCTGTTGATGAATCCTGTTGATGACATATGCTACTCACCATAATGAATTCATTTATTTAATGTACAGTATGTTCAACAGAATGTCAGTGCACTTGTGGCAACAAGATCTTGTTTTTTTCCTGTTAATGAAATTATTGCACTTAGAAAAAAAATCTTTTCAATCTCAGTATATTAAAAAAATTGTCTGTTTGAAAACGGTTCTACTAAATGTGAAAATGAGTTGGTTTAATGACAAGATGCCACAAAGACAAAGACACACACTCACACATTCAGCCAGAAGCCAATAAACCAAAATGGACCCTAAGTGTAACCAGAGTATGGTTACATATCTATCTAGTTATAGTACACTGTACAATTGAACTTTTTATAAAAATTACATTATTTTGTTCAAGGGTCCTTTAAAAGATGCCAATATATTTTGAAAATGGAACACAAGTAAAACCAGGAAAAGAACTGCATATCCAGATGTCTGTGAATGTGTTACTTTATGTGGCCTCTAGCAACTGAGTAAATGATTTTCTTTGTTCTCTGTAGCATTAAACAATCACTTTAATGTCTCAGACAGCATGCAGTTTAGTGCTATCTCCAATGATACTCTGGAAAGAACAAATTATAATTACAGATGCATTTCTCCTCCTCTTTCACCCTACTAAATCAACAGCAGGTGTGCTACTATTACATCCAGATGTACAAAATTAATTTATTTGAAATCTTTTCTGAAAGCAGTATTATAATGTTTCTCTTTTATTTTAACAATCGATTACGGTAGTAGTTGGTGTGTCTCAATCCTTGTTGCTGAAATGTCATAATAAGCTGTATACAGTATATACAGTATATCTAGATCTACACATGTACTGTATAAGCATCTCTTTAAACAGCTGCATTTAATTTGCATTTAATTAATATTTGCTCCTTAATGAAGGTTTAAGGTGGCATAATTACAATAGGATTTTCATACTCTTTTTTGTTTCATCATCGGTTTTCTTGATTCCTATAATTTCACTATGCCTTATTAAACTGCACCATTAAAATACTACACTGTAGTGTTTAGTTTTAGTTGAACAAAATAGTAAATTTACCCCAGTTTTATTTCAGCGTTTTCTTACCTTTGTTGCTCAAAAAGGATTTTTAAAGTATGCCTTGTTCATTTTAGGATTTAGCTATTATAACATATTAAGCCATAAGCATATATTGTGAGTATGTTGCATACAATCTTATATTATTTTTTATGCACTTTACAGAAGATCCAACACAAGTTGGAAGAGGGGTTGCAATCATCACAGTAATGGATATCAATGACAATGCACCAGTATTTGCCATAGAATATGAAACATTTCTATGTGAAAATGCTCGACATGGACAGGTACTTTTTAAAACTATTTTCTACACTATTGTAATATTACTGGATTTGAATAATTAGGCTAAGTTACAATGATAACGGCTACTGTTTTTCATTGCATTTGCAGGTTTGCTAAATGTAGAAATCCTGGGTTCTGTTATAAAACTAATGCTTTATCCCTTTCTCTCTGGTCAAGGTGGGTTTTTGTCTTTACATAACTCTACATTTAATCACAAGTGAAGATCACCTTTGGTTCAAGTGCTGAACAAAATTACGCTAGTCCAGTGCCACACAGCAATTAATGCAACTACTACCACCATCATAGGTCAACAATGATGATTTACTAGGAGTAAGAGTGGTAAAAGCACTCTTAACATAATGGTAGATTCAGTGCTATGATGCTGTATTTTTAGGTCCTTATCTGAGAATGCATATTTGAAGAATATAAGACAGATATTTCCAAATGATTAGTGATTTAGGTCAATTAAATTAAAATGCCAACTTTTTACTCATTCATGTAGGAAATGTAGTATCATTCAACTGACTGCAACATGAAAATGAAGTTGGATATACTACCATATAAACTAAACACATCCTTTGAACATTGGATTTTCCATACATATTATTTCCATGCTGGATATTTTTGTGGTAAAGTAGAGGAGTTAATTATGTAATATTAGCACCACAGTACCACAAAATTATATTACAAAAATATCATTTAAAAATAATTTTTAAAAGCTGAAACTTGAAATTCACCTTTTCCATGTTTGAATTCCACATTACTGTGTGTAAGGTCACCGTTAATTTCTTTGTGTACAAAAAAGTTAAAAAACAGCAAATGTATTTGTTTTGCAAATGTCTAATAGACATTACAGTATGTCTAATAGATCTCTGATAGTCTCTGTGATTACTCCAGTTTACCAGTTTGATGTCCAACCCCCGATTCATTGATTTCTTTTTCTGATAATGTAAAATCCTTAAGGTTAAATGTTAAATTAACTTAGATCCAGAGTTTTCAGGATTTTACTTTGGCATGTTTGTACAGTATACAGTATAATTGCAAATAAAACCTTTATCACCACTCCTCTCTGAAATAATTTGTTATTGTTTCTACAGGAGGTAAATGTGCCATTTCTTAATTTGCTGTTTCAAATTTCATGTTTTCTTTTCACAGAAAAGTATTACTAATTCTGGTCATATTTTAAACACTGTAACATTTATGAAAACGCTGTTTCTAGGAGTGATCATCAACAATAATCGGACAAGGGGACAAGAGACTGATCATGCCTTCCTGACACTGATTTAAATTGTGCTTGAATTCAATAACCTGTTTTTTTTTTCCTAATTAAGTCACTCATATTAAAACATCCTTCTCAGGAGACATAACTTTTACGGATTGTTAGTGATTCTTCCTTGGCTGCAATATTAATTTATTTTCCCTACAGTATAATATAGTGCAGTAGTTTCCAACACTCTTGCCAATACATAGATGCATGAAACGGATAAGTGAGTCACTGCTAAAACTAAAAGTTTGAAATTGTGTTATAATAGTTCTGTATTACACAAAAAGTCACTTTCACTGTTTCTCTTATAGTCATGAATGCACAGAATCACAGCCCTGCAGTATTTCTTTTACAAGAAAATAGTTAACAAAATAGGAGCAGAAAGTGTGCCTATCATTGCATAGCCTCTAGTTTCTCTGATCCATTATATACCGTACTTGGATATTCACAAGCAAGCAATAGGAACACCATATTGTGTGCTTATTGCTTATACAGTGTGTGTTTGTGCCCTATGACAGACAGGCATCCCATTCAGGTAGTAATCCTACCTTTTACCAGCACTTTCAAGATTGTCCCTGGATTGCTGTGACTTTTATCAGGAAAAGCAACTTTCTGATAATGGGTTGAATTATAGTACCCAATTTTCACTATCTTCATTATTCTTTTTTTGTAGATTCTTTTGACAATATTAAAGAAATATGCCTTGAATGACAGCTCTGCACTATTGTGAAGATTTCAAAATAGCATATAAGAGTGTAGAAATAATAAAAGTAACATTTTTATAATGCTAAACCCACACATACTGTACAAGAGATAAGAAGATTTTCAGGAAGAAGATTTAAAAATTAAAGAAGATTATGTAAACACTTTCTTTTAGGTCTTTTAGGAACTAACCTAAGACCCCAAAATTCTATTACTAGTGACACAGAGATGACCCAGGGCAATGCATCAATTAATTGCCTAATGAATTTTTACTCTTTGCAATCTAACCTTCTTAATTAGATGTCTATGCAATTCAATGCAGGCACTAAATGTACCAAGATCCATCAAACCATCCTCAATGCCCTCCCTCTCCTCCAACTTTGAACTGCTTGCTGCAGATCCACAAAATATTTTAATTGGGTAAAAAGGTCCATTTAAAAAATAAACAGCTTGGTTTTCTAGCCTGATTGGAAAGCAGTGGAGTGGATGAGATTTGAAGATGTAAAATGGTTTCTAAGCAGGGCTCTTGTCTTAGGTGGAAAGCTCCCTAAGCAATAAAACTGTCTGTGCAATAATAATTACTAAAGCTTTTAGGCCCTGGTCACAGCAAATCTGTATTTACTTTTGAAACTGGAAAGCAGAGGTCCCTGGGTTATCTGTAGGTACTCTTTTTTTCTTGTCTGGCAGAATCAACAAAGTTCTCAAACACAAGGATGGACAAATACTTCCAATTGATTCCCCACTTGCATCTTGGGTAGCTACAATCCATCTCTGTGTATTTATATAATCTAATGAATACATTTCCCTATTCTTTGTTGTTAAGGTCATTTTACTAAACATCAGTACTGAATAACTACTTCCGTGCTGAAAACTCTGTAAGGTAACCTAAGTGAAAGAAAGTCTGTGGTAGTATTAATAAAATCTACTGATAATTTATTAGCTATGAAATGATAATTCCTTGTTTTTCACTGATTAATGAAACTATATCCCATGAAAGCTGTGAGAAAGACTAGAAGAGCAATTGAACATTAAATAAGTGACATACATTTATATTGTGTCAGTGATTTTAAGATGAGGATGCGTAAAATAAATCTGTGTTCAGATTTAACTAGAGATCCACTCTGATGAACACTTTCTTGCTTGAGAGCTGCAGCAATAAAATGTGTAAAAACTGCAGCTTTCACCACTCATTATGACAATTTTTAGCACAGCAGAAAAACAGGAGTCTCTATGGTTACAGTTACAATTCCTGTATGTCACGTGTTTTTAGTTTTTACTGTTATTTTATTTTTCACAAGAATATCAGACTCACAGACTCTGAGAATTGAAATACTCAGAACTGATGTTGATTACAAAAAGAAAAAAAGAACGTTTGCACTTTTAAAACTGTTGTTCAGTTGATTTTGTAATATGCTGATTTGATTAAAATGACGCCACCATTATTTAACAGTTATGGTCTCTTACTCGTTATTGTGATAGTAAAATATCTGTTTAAAAAAAGGAGCACAAACACTGAAAAAAAAAGATACAATAGATCCAAATTACATAATTTACTTACCACTGGTATTATATAAGATTAGACTGAAGCAGTTCTGTATAAAATGTATAATATGTATTAAAATACAAAAATAAAATAGTACTCTTTATTTAAAAATGTATAGTATTTAACTTCACAATCTGCAGTTTACAATAAAAGCAGGTTTAATGTTTTTGTTATCAATAAGGTATCTCAAAATCTGTGTTTATCCCAATGACCCAGAATGTCCCTCAGTAAATCCCATAGTTCTTCAAAAATGTGTCCATGTCCTGTGATCTTCAAAACTGTATTATTTTTCCACTTGAATAGTGTGGATAAACAACCATGCATTTTCAATAACTGTCTTGTGCATTACAGTGTTGTGTTGAAAGGATAGGCATGACTAAGGGATTTTGTATTGTGAATTACAGCAACGTGTATCTGCATAGCTTGTGAAAAAAATACTAACCAGGTATAAAGAAATATTTGTTTAGTGTTCAAATTGGTCAAGGAAACTAATCCCCTTTTAAATATATTTTTGTTTAAATACACCAATTATTTAAAAGAATGCAATCTTACCATTTTTCTAAAATAATTTCGAACTAATTATTAAATGATACAAATTAAAACCATCAAAACGCACAGATCAGAAACACTTTCCTTTTGGTTATGAGAAACGTATAAGTCAGTAATTGCTAGTGTTGTCATCACTTTTGTCATCACATGTGTCTCCAAACAAAGATACATTTCAAATTGAATGTACTGTAGGTTTGTCTTTTTCTATATTTTGGAGCGCTATGGGATACACATTTCTGTTGATAAAAAATCTGAAAGAATAAACATCCAAATAAAAATAATTATATATATACAATATAACTGTTTGTTATGATTAGCATACATTTAATGTTTTTCAAAAATCCATTAGAGTGTATTTGTTCTGCACTAGTTTCTGTAGGGATACTGGGTCTTTATGATGGATTAAGCTACTGTAAGCTTAAAATAAAATATTTCAAATATTTTGTCAAATATTTTGTCATTTGCAAAATATGTATTGAAAAGGATAAAATGCTGATAAAATTGAATTAAGAATAAAAAATGAGGCATTATTACTAATATAATATAATTATTACTAATATTATTACCAAAAAGAAATAATTCCATTGATAATACCTGTACTTTAAATTGGTCTGCAAACCTCTTAAATTGAGGTACATTTTTCTAAAAAAAAATCACCTTCTGTAGCTCACACTGCTTTGCTGACACCATCTAACTTTTGTGTATTTTAAAAATAAGACAACCACTTTTGACTTTTTTTGTATTGTTCAAACGCCCAATCGATTTTTCTGAGCTGTGACAGAGGAATTGAAATTTGGAAAAGAAACGCTTTGATCACCTCTGATATTTGCATACCTCAGACACAGATATGCAAAGCAGTCGTTTGTCTGAAATGAAAATGCCATCATGACTTTAATTTGAAATTAGATGCTTTCAATGTGTGCTGTCTATTGGTTAATGATGTAGAGAGGGCTTATCTGCCAGGGCTACAAACTCCTGTTCTTTACTAAGAACAAGAAATAAACTCTTTCTTAATTAAAAAAGCTTAAACACAATTCAGTTTGCTTAGATCAATAGGAGTCAGCTTAAGATCATTTAGGAGGTGCAATATGCATTGAAGAGACATGCAGGGCTTAAATGGTAGTAAGCCTAGATCCAAATGTTCTGTAGGTTTTTTAATCAAACTTCTTATTTGTATCAAGGGCAAGCTTAAGGTATTTCAAGTGGAAACCGTGAGAAGTAAAACATCATTCAGTGTCATTGTTTAGTGATCTTATTTTATAATAATGATCTAGATTATAGTATGATTAGTAAGATCCAGAAGCATCAAATTAAATTCAAAAAGATTTACATGGAATTCTGGATGGGGATCTGGAAGATGGAGTTTATTGTAGTCATGCAGAGTATTATTGCACATAGAAAAAAAACAGAGACTACAAATACAAAGTGAGAAACATTGGGCTTATGTTTACCTATGAAAAAGTGTTTATACATCATTTACTGTATGTATTCTGGACAATGGGGGAAAACAAACTGCTAAAATACAAGTTAAAAGCACAGATTTTAAAAATTGAACTGTTATGTTAAGTTTGTGCAGTGTAATACATCAATAAAAATAATGTGTGCAATTTTGGTCATTGTGTTGCAAAAAAGTTATTGCTCCTGTGAAATCAATCCAAATACTAGCAGGTGGATACTTTCTCTGACTTAAATAGATGTCTTACACTGACAGGCTAAAAGAATTTAACTTTTTAGTCTTGAGAGTAGGGGACCTGACCTGGGTATTCATAACACTCAAGGCATTGACAGTGTCAACCAATGGACTTCTTCTGAATTACCAGTGAAACAAGAACCAGGAGGAAAAAGTGCAATATGGAATTACATTTAAATCCGAGCACAAGAGGCCCTTTGTTACACAATGAGTTGGAGTAGTATGGAACAAACTAAGCAGTCATATAGTTAGAGATGATACCATAGCTGTGGTAATTGCTGCATCGCTGAAATAGATCTGCATATCAATTAGGCATGCAGCCTAACAAGCTAATAATGTCAATTGTTTTTCAGCCATTTGTAAGCTTTTTAACGTTTTTTTAATGGATGGGGACTTGTAGATTTGATTCTATATAATACAATTGAAATGCTGTAAACAGAGATTTACTTAATCCATAAATATGAGGTCTTCACAGCCTTAGAATGAGCTATTCTTCAACAATAATACCTCTTAACATGAAGTAAAAGTTTTTATGGCTTCGCTCTGCAAAACCTAAATTCATAAAATTCCTTGAGATTCAGATTTATTATTTAACTGAATTAAAATATCCATATAAATCTCTTCAAAGTTAAAGGATTGTGCCTTGCAAATCATAGATCATTTATTGTATATTATTAAATGTTTCTGTTTGCTCACTCTGAGTCTGGACTTTATGCTGTCAGAGAGCAAGCAAGCCATGCCATAAGTTACTGTTTGCTTTGCAAGACATTTTCCAAGAGATGCTTAGAGAAGATCTTATTTACTGTACATACTGTATTTATAACACATTCAGAATTGTGCTTCAAAATGCAATGAAGTGCACAAGCAAAATAGAACATAATCATGGGAATGTGACATAAGTGATAATGTTTTAATTTATGAGCTGGGGTATGCAAAGGTATATTATGATGCGTATAATAGGATACATGAAAGACAACAAGATATAGGCACACAGAAAAGAGTGTTTTGTTAATGCACTCATGAATATGTGTCTAAGCAGGCAAAAGGACAGGCAATGTATGCAAAAATCCCAACAAAACTTCTTTCTGTCATAAGTGATTTTGCCTCATTTGCCTTACTGAGAGACAAAAATCAGCATTGTTCCTTATGGTGCCAGTGGTATTTATTTGAATCTCATTCAAAACCAACACAATGAGGCTACTACAATGCTGTAACAGAGTTAATCATGTCATGTCTTCCTCCCACAGCCATTTAAATTAATCATATCCTCTACCTTTTTCCCAGGTGCTACAGCTCAGACTTTGCTCCCTGATTTAGTTTGATTTCTGACATACAGTATGCTGTATATTTCTTGTTTTTCAGGTTATCCAGACTATCAGTGCTGTTGACAAAGATGAACCACCCAATGGTCACAGGTTTTTCTTTGCCCTGACTCCAGAGGTAGCAAGCAATTTAAACTTCACCCTGAGAGACAACAAAGGTGTGACTTTAAATATTCATTTCAATAACACAACTGCCATGATGCCTTTTTTATACACAGAAGGGGTCCTCATTTCACAGCCATTTACTGCTGATTCTAAACAAAGTTCTTTTGCTGGCTGGACATTAATTAAGGTCTAATCAGTGCCAAAGTCATTTTTATTCTCAAATTAGCTGTCATGGCTGTAAAACCATTCTTTAAATCACTGGGACACCTAGAGGAAAACAGAAGGGGCTCCAATCATTTCTTAGTGAAGCTTTTCACATTCTGCATTTGAACCACTTTATCTGAATTAGATTGAATGGCAGACACAGGCTGAAATTTTCATAAGCCTCATGTTGTGCAAACACAGTCTGTGCTTTGAAAAATGAGGCCGTGCACAGTTCAGAAGTGTAGCTCTTGTGTTTGATAAAGGTGACCCCGTGACAGTATAAGTTTATGCAATAAAAGAGAGATGATAATGGAAGAAATGATGCATGAATGCCACAAATCAGTCTATGTAAAATACAACATTTATGTTTTGCAAAGGTTCTCCATCAACAAACACACTTATTAAAAACTGATGAAAATAGATTAAAATCAGTTTGCTGTATCTCAACACAAAGCCATGACATTCTGATTTTCATTTTTAAGCAAAAATTGCACTTCCATACTGGGATTTTGAAAATCTAGTTTTATAAATGACTATTGCTTAAGTAAAATATCACTTATTTGTAGACTTCCAAGTCATGGGAGCCTATAACGATTGTTTAGATTTTGTTACAACTGATTTGAAGCAACTCATATTTGAAGACAAGCACTGAGAAATTAATTGTCTTTAAATGTATTACACAAATTGAGGTCCTACATCAAACCAATATGGGAGCATTCCAGTATTTTCACAAACCCTTCCAAAATCATTGAGCCTTTTCAAAACATTTTTTTAAATGTTTACACCTGAAAACTTGCTATGCCTGCAAATAGTTCATCATGCAAACTGCTCTTGCTCAAAAACTGGCTATTGAACTATGAAATGAAATAAGCATAAATTTAATAATGATACAGAAGTATTTGAAAATTCCTGCATACAGCAAGATAACTGCATGACCACCTTTTCTTTTTTACATTGTTAATATGTGACTTGTAAGATATTCCTATTGTTAAAAAAAATATTTTCAAAAATGGTAAGGATCATTCTACAAAACATGCCATCAACATGTAAAATGGCATGATTGTTTTATTCCAAGAATACTTCACAATCCCCATTTTGTTTTCAAACCTCAAGCTGCTGCTGTCATGAGAGTCCCTGCACTGATTAAAACTAGACTAGTATTGTAAGCAATCAATACACCATCTGATTTGCACCTCACAAATTGCTGTTATAATGTCTCACCTATAGCAGGTCTACAGATGATCTCTATCTAGGAAGTAGCATTGCAATTTAAACTCAAAATTAAACTTTGCTCACTTAGGCCTTTGTCAGGGGTTCTGGGAGTGCTAACCTTACTTTCAAGGTATCAAACCTTTCTAACCCAAAGTGGTCAACTGACAATCTCCTTTTTTGTCTCAAGCCGTCTTGTCTATCAATACCTAAACAAGCTAAACACCTTGTAAACAAACAGAACCAGGTATCTAACCCTGTATGAAATTATTCAAACAATTTACACAAATGAAATACTGAAAATAATTGTCTCAGTTCCAGTTTTGTCATGGTCTTGTGTCCATTATCATTAAAAGACCTTTCATGGAGTACTCTGCTATGTTTACTACTTAGCAAAATGTGGCCTCTTGTACAAACTGTTACAAAAGTCCAGTTAACTCAAAACATGGTACTGATCACTCTAATGAGAATGGAATTACTATACAACAAAATATGATTCCGGCTTAAATTAGGGTAAACTCCAGACAGCCATTTTTCTTCTATTTTTGGAACACATTTAATACCAGAAATGTCTCCCTAACAAAAAAAAGATGTGTTCAAAAATTCAACTACAGACGTGGACATTCTAGTAACGATGCAGTTAATATATAGCAAAACTGGTTTTCTTCATAACCCGTAATAACCTCATAAATGAAACTATCACTTGTGAATTGTTGTAAGATGGAGATCAGACCCAGATCAGCTTTAGAACTGCACCTCACAAGTCACAGTAATATTTGATATCCCTGGATCTTCATCTACTTCATGAAATGTTCCCCATAATTCTATCAGTTCTTCTAGAAAGTCTGTTAGATCTATACACTCCCAAACTAGCCAGGAATAATTCAAGTAACAATATAATTAACATACATAACAGCCTCCGGTTTACAACAAGTTGGCTGCCTGCTTACCATTTCATTTTCAAACCTCAAACTACCACTATCTTAATAACTTCGACATCGGTTGACCTACAAGGTTTCATCACACTAAATATTACTTCAGATTGTAACCCACATGAGGAAATCACACTTTCTATGCCCGTAACAGCTCAACACTTTCTTGGTGAAGCATGCCTTATTCTTCTAACTACACTTCTTCAAAAATAGTTTGGCCTTCAAAAATATTTTCGAAGGAACTTTCTCAGAAGTCTTTAAAATTGCATACAATTTCCTAGTTCTTTTAATTGTTTGTGCTCCCATGTTTATTTAAACATGTAAATGTACAATGATAACTTTCATTATACTCTATCAGATCTCAATAAATGCACCAGGAATGTGCATTCAAAGCTGTTGTCTATCTGATGTCATTAAAAAAATAACACTGGTTACAGTTTCTATCGCAATACACTTGAGGAAGATCTTTTTTAGCACCTTCATGTTATGTTAGAAACTTCATTACAAACAATAATACCTTATGGCCTGTAAGTTTAAAAGCTGATTAGCATATACGGCTGATGATGTATGACACAGCATTTATTAAATGCTCTTTATTTGATCATCAAGTGTATTTTTGGTGTTATTTCAGGAAAATAATAAAGACCCATAAGTAAGAGTGTAACAATTTGCTAGCTAATACACAAATAACTGGATTTGGAAATTTTGTACTTAAAAAGGCATTTACAAATAATAAATGTGATGTAAATTGCATATAAAAACAACACATATAGTCTGTAAGATGACAATATTATGCATTGAAAATGTGCTATAAAATTAACTTAGGTGAATTCTATTTGAGCTGAACAATGTTCTGAGAATTCATCTTCTGAAAAGTGACAGAATATGCTGGGAAAATTGAGCTATGGGTCAGATCATTGAGCTTTTCTCTATGTAAGATTTAAACACTTATTTGAAGCTGATTCAAAAGTGAAGGGGAGTATACATTTTACAAATATTTTTCCTTCTTTCCAAGTTTATAAATGGAAAATTCAAACATAGCCTATATTGATGAACCATTACCTCACCTCAGAATTCACACTTACAAACTCAGCTGTTCTCTTTATGACATGCATGGAACAATATTTTAACACACCTACTGTACATCTGCTTGTGTTAGGTCTCTTGGAACTAGACATGCCTCTTGTCTTCATAGGAGATAGACTTCCTCATTGTGTCAGGATTGGTATTTGCAATTTATTTGACAGTATGTAAAATAGTACAGTACAGTATAAGAGTTTGTTTTGACATGTTTGAATCTGTGTGGTGTGATTGTAATCCCTTGATATACAAAAATGTTATGATGTTTTGCAGTACAATGATGTTGAACTTTTTCAGTGTGCATTTTTAACAGATTGAAAAGAAGATAAATTAGGAGATAGAGATAAATGCAATTACAATTTAGTGTCATGGAAAAGTTGCAGTAGTTGGCAAAGGCAAGCAAAGCCTTTATTTATAAAGCTGCTAAACAAATAATAATCATATTATGTAGATGGTAAAGCCTATCAGCTTACCCGCTAAAAAGGAGGAAAACTGAAATAATAAAAATGATTGAAACATTACCTGAAGCAAGTACAGTATAGTACTTGCTGCTTGGACATTCCCATATTTATTGACTTTTCTTTCTCTTTATTTAGACAATACAGCATCCATTCTGACAAAACGAAATGGCTTCAGGAGACAAGAACAGTCACTCTACAAGCTACCTATCCTGATTGTGGACAGTGGAAGTCCTTCACTAAGTAGCACTAACACCCTGACGATAAAAGTTTGTGACTGCGATCAGGAGGGCATAGCACAGTCTTGCAATGCAGAAGCATACATGTTGTCAGCTGGACTTAGTACTGGGGCCCTCATAGCAATCCTGGCTTGTGTATTAACATTGCTAGGTAAGCTCTCTTTCTTTGATTCTACTACTGTACTGTATATCTAAGTTTTCGTACTGCTTTATGATCATAAAGCATGGCAAATAAATGTTCTTGCTTAATTTATGTCTGTACATAAAGATGGAATAAAATGTATTTTTTGAGTAGAAGAAATTATAGTACATAACTTTTGTAACTAAATCATCTGCCTGCTCTGAGACCGAGACTGAGAGTTCTGAACCCTGATGTCTATCTTCTCTCACATTCACATTCACAGGCGTGCAGGATATATGGATTATATTTTTACACTGACAAATTGCAAGGAGTTATTTTAGGCCAGTAAATCCGACCCTGGGGCCAAGTCAGCCATGGTGCAGAAATTGCTGAGTCCAATGGCTGCAGAATCAGTGGGGGATATAGAGAGCATATCTTTTTAATACAGATTTCTGATAATCATATTGCCTATTTTTGATTCCTCTGAGCAGTGATTGATAATGCACTGTCTATTCAAATACAATTAGATCAAACCTAGTAGGCTTTGAAGGTTAACAGTGATGCGGTTAAAATAGTTAAAGGGCCTTGTTTTAGAACTCCCTTAAATATTGTGGGGTCTCTTTTAAGAACTTGATTGTTCAGATACTAATTTATTATATTGCTGTATCTATTATTGCAAAATAAATAGTGTATGCTGCTTCCTATCTTTGCTCAACCTGTATCTAATATGCTTACATATACAATTATTCTTGTAATGAATGAAAGAACACCGGGTTCTGAGGTAATCTAAACAATTGAGAAATAAATCTCAAATTATATCATCTGATACTAAGACTTTTGCCATTTTGGATTATGTAGCATTGGATTCTATAATGTTTTACCCTCAGGCTATGTATGGGTAGGGGTTTAGTGAGATCAGGAAAACCTGTCCCAGACAGAGTAGAACATAGATAGCAAAGTACAATGGACTTAAGGGATCTTGTCTTTCAGAAATGGAAAGCAAATGCCTGGCTGAATCAGTTGTATGCTCTTAGTATTGCTGGGAAATTCAGAAGCAGCCCATGAAATAGACATGACTGCTTCTTTTGCACTGTAATCTCATACCGCAGGTGCAGAAGTGTTGCAAAAGCAAATGTCGTGAGTATCAGCCAGCCCAATTATAGGATCTGACACCAACAGCCTCTTGTTGTTTGCAGTCGTGACAATGTCATTCAGTCACTACTCCCGTTGCCATTTTCACGGGCGGTTTACTGAATCCAAGGCGCAGCTCTTGTAGCAGTGTCATTGCAAGGACAACAGAAGTGACATTCTGCAGACACCATAATCATGAGCAAGAAAAAGTATGGCTTAGTAATAAACCGAACATGTTGTTTAAATTACAGGAGTTCCGCATGACAGATATGATCAAATCCAAAGACAAAGAAGTAAAAAGAAATACAACACTACTTGATAAATAAAACTTTTATGTAAGTGATAAAAAGTGATGTGTTTAAAAATGCACCATAGAACACCCATCAAATTTAGGACATATTTTGAAAGAAGGGTTATTTTAAAACAAAGAAACTTCTGTTGAATTGAGAGTTATCAGATTTGTGATTATTGTAGATCAATAACTCAGCTTAAATTGTCAGCATTAGCTGATTCAAACTGTCATGCTAGATAATAGAAAAACAATAAAAGTCTGCTAGCAAATGCCAGAGTATTTTTGAGGATTTTCAATAGGTTTTCTATATCATCATGGAATGTTTTATTTACTATTTAGATGTTTCGATTTTTTAGTCTAAAAAATGGAATATGACTTGAAATATGCAGAGAAAATGAGCAAAGAAAAAGAAAGATCTTATTCTATGACATACTATATTCACAGACATTTCTGAGATATCCATGTGTGTTTTTTCTGTACTTTTCAGAGATATCCATGTGTGTTTTTTCTATATATGTTCATGCAATTAGTATAAAGACATATCTTACAAGTCCATGCTAATTTGTCTTATTTGACCCCTAGGAATGTTTTTCTCATATTCTAGAAGACAGTTGTTACATCCCAGTGTGTGGTCTAGGTGTGTTTGTTGTTATGTTCCACACTTCTGACTTTGATTGTTCTCCCTTCCCCATTGGCCCACCATTACACTATTGTTTCCGTATGACATCATCTTCAATTAGCTTGTCGACCAATAACAATTCTTCACTATATAACATGAAGGTTTTCAGAAGGAAGAGGCCTTTCGTTTGACTTTGTTCCCGCTCCGCTTTTGGTTTTCGCTTCTCTTCGCTTTTGGATTTGCTTCGGTTTTATTGGTTTGTTGTTTTGCTTTGTGTGTGTGTGTGTTTTCGTATAGCTTCGGCTTTGTTGTTTTGTTGGTTTCTGTTAGTCTCTTTGTACTTTTGTTTGTTTGTGTTATCCTTATTTTGCCATTACCTTGTCCAAACTTGTTATTGTATCAACATCTGTGTTCTTTTGTACCCTGCTACTTGTCTACTCTCGTTTGTATTCATAGTTCACTTGTGTATTTGTGTGAACTTTTATGTATAGAGTTAGTTCAGGTTGTTGGGTACATTTTGCACACATGTAGTTGATTCTTGTATTAGTCACACTAGTTTAGTACGGGTGAGTGCCATTTGTCTTGTATGGTTTTGGGTAGTCAGTGGAGGTTAGCTAGGGTGTTGAAGACACAGAAGACCGTGTGTTTTGAGTTTTCTTTTGTTAGGGCTTTGTTCAGGTTAGTTTTCCCTCACTTTCCTAGCCAGCTCCATTTTGTTTGTTATTTTCTTTTCTTTGGCACCATTCTAGTTCCCTCATCCCGTGTGTTATTGTGCCTTATTTCGTACCAGTCACCTATTCAGCTGAAAATCATCACTTTTGCACCGACCCTTGTTATCACAATTCCTAAGTCCCTCACCAGAACCCACCTGCTTCCAAAAATTATCCTAAATGTTACACCCCTTTACCCCTAGACACTTGAGGTCGAACACAGTTTTAGCACAAAATTGTTTAATTCTTGTGCAGAAACTCAATTTAATACTTCTAACATATTGATGAAACATTTTTCAGAAATAAATGTGAGATCTACAGATTTTTTTCAAATAGGGGAATTGTGTACTTTTTTCTATAATTTCATGCAGGAAATAGGATAAACATAAACTTAATTATGTCATTTTCAAAACTCTTGTTCAAAGGAAGTAAATCTGGAATTTAATCTGTAGGTACAGTATATAAGTTTTCATTTCTAAAAAACATTCAAAAATACCTCAATTTTCTATTTGGTCATGAAAAGTAATTGGACTGACTTAATAGCAAGATTGCCATTTAGTCAATAAAAAGGAAGCAATTATTTATTCACCAAATTTACAGCAATATTTAGATGTGTCTCATCTATTTATCTTTGACTATATTGTCTGGAAAGTAACTTTTCTCATTTTGATTAATTTATCTTATTAAGACAACTTGCATGAATACAAAATATAGGATGATGTACAGGTAGTAATAACTCACATTTTCATGGCATCAGCTGATCATTAGATACTATATTGGCCTGCTAGCTACAGCATGGAAAGTAATTGTATGCTCAATATACAGTATCTGCAAGCCAAGGAGTGGCTAAAGAAAAGTTGCTTTGTCTTACATGTCCATAAGGTATTTCATCTTTCTCATGTCAGAAAATCTGGCACATTCACATATCTTTTGAACATTATTCTTTGGTTTTGGAAATACAATAAATACTCATAATTTAATTTTTAAGTTTGTCCTGTGTCTGATTTTAGGAAAAAGGGGCGTTGTCACATACTGTAAGAACTCTTAACTCTGGATTGGTCCAAACCAATAATAAAATGAACATCATAGAATTAAAAAAAAACATTAATAATGTTTAATGTTTTGTTTGTGCAAATTTATTGAAGCTATGATTATCATGTGAAAGATATATAGTGTAACTATATATCAAATTTGAAGTTATTATATTGTTCACAAAACATATTTTATGACAAAAAACAGCTTCTCGGAAATTAACATATTCATTTATGCTTTGTATGCAGAGTTGTCATTCTCCTTGCATAATACCTACAGAGTAGCTTTATTTTATAAGGTATGAACCATGAACAAAGCAAATTACAGACTAAATTGAAAAAAAAAAAACATTTTTCATTAGCATTTTTGCCACCAGCAATGTGGAATCAATTTGAATTACAGCCTAATTAATGTTTTGCCATAGGGTGCACTTTTTATCTGGATGGGACTTACTTATTGCTGAAATTTATTTTTCCCATACTGTTTGTGACAATTATTATCACAGGTGCCACCATACTCCAAATCAATCTATCGCTCAGTCCAAAAATAGTGTTTTTTTTTCTTGAAAACAGACATGTTGTTTTATTTTCCCAATTAATTTAACAATCATACCAAGACAATCTGGATATGGGTTGCAATGGCTACCATATAAATCCACTGTCTGGAAGCAACAAAATGACACCCAACATCTTTTCTGTGTCTCAGAGACAGAAAATAAACCACAAAAAAAACACTAAAAAATATAAAATCAGCACAAATGGCATCATCTTGAAAGAAAGATTCACGAAATTATAACAGCTGTAATTTAAACCATATTCCCCATTTACTGGCCATAGCAGTGTGCATAAGTAAATTTATACAAGGGTAATTTGTTTTTAATTGTGTATACAGTTTGTACTGTAAGTACACATATTCCTTGTATTTTCCATCTTAATTTGGAAGGACGTTCAACCATTCTGTGTCTGATTTTTCATGTTGTAAGTCATCTTAACTTTGCTTTATTCTCTTCCATTTATCATTCTTAATATAAATGAACAAAAAGCTGAAAAACCTTATATGATAATAAGTCCTTTTCAGTCAGATTTTATGTTGCCTTCTTCAAAATGTCATCATAGAGTATTTATATTTATTACTCAGCTCTTGAAATACTGTAAATCCAGCCATTAGTTTAAAGTAGTGGTCTGATTGTCTCTGTGTTTCAGTGTTGGTGCTGCTCATCGTCACCATGAGAAGGAGAAAGAAGGAGCCACTAATTTTTGATGAAGAGAGAGACATCCGGGAGAACATTGTGCGCTATGATGATGAGGGAGGCGGGGAGGAGGACACAGAGGCTTTTGACATGGTGGCACTCCGCAATCTCAACGTCATGCGGGACACCAAGACACGAAGAGATGTGACGCCGGAGGTTCAATTTTTCTCTCGCCCTGCTTACAAAACGCTCCCTGACAACGTTATTTTTAGAGAATTTATATGGGAAAGACTAAAGGAGGCAGACATAGACCCCTCTGCTCCCCCCTATGACTCCCTGCAGACATATGCTTTTGAAGGCAATGGCTCAGTAGCAGAGTCACTTAGCTCCTTGGAGTCCCTGAGTACAGATTCGGACCAGAATTATGATTACCTCAGTGACTGGGGACCTCGCTTCAAAAAACTGGCAGACTTGTATGGAAACAGTGAGAGCAACATATTCTCTTAGCCTTTGAGTTAACTTTGGAAGAAAAAAATAAGACATTGAAGACATTTTTGGATGAAGGGGTAAAAGATAAAAATATTGAAAAAAAGAAGGAAAAATGTTTTTTTTTAATCTTTAAGGTTTGTCCGTTGATACCTTCATTAGAATTTTCAAAGAGAAACTCAAGAGAAATTTAATACAACAATTAAAAGCTTAGACTTTACATGCTACACACTTGTTTTAAGCCAGCCTGGAGAAATGGCATATCATATAAAGAGGCCAGGAACTTGCCAAATGCTGTCGAGATCCTCATTCCACTGCCATGCTTAATCTGAAGAACAGTATATTATTTAAGAGCTCTGGTACATTTCCTGCATTTGTTGTTCTCCTCATGACATCCAATGTTTAGGTATTCTGTCTGTAGTAATTAGATGGTACCGCAATTTACAAGTTGAGTGATAATTCAGAGTGTACACTTTGATCAGTATAGATGTTTATATGAAACCTTTAAAGGAATCCTTAAAGGAATATGTTAACATGGACTTGTAGGCAAGAGAGTGTTTTTTTAAAAAAATCAATGTTTCCTGTCAAGATCTGTAAGCTAGACACAGATCTAGTAAAGCGATTGCTCTGTTACTATGTAAAAGAGATTTTCCACTTGCCATATTTTAATGTCAGATGGGAACCAGCTGTAAAAAGCAACTAGCAGATTTTATCTGTTTAGGACTTTTCATTACCTCTTCTGATTCTTACAGGAGAATAAATGGTGTTTTCTTTTGGTATGCTATTGGATATGTAGTGTAATATTAATTTTCAGAACTTATATTTGGTTATGGGAAGCTATATGGGAATGGTGGGTCTCACTGCCAAAGTATTGCAACAGATTCTATTGGATAATATAACTATTCTATCACTAGAATACACATTGAATCCATGATTAAAAATCAGAACCTAAAATTAAGAAAGAAATAAACACAATAAATTAGGAAAACCACTGCATGAAAATCAGGTTTTCTCCTGAAACACTTCTAATTTCGTTCACTCTCCAATACCTGAATTACCTATGCCCCAAATTTATTTATGATAGTGCATGATGAATTCTTATATCTTGAGTTTGATGGCAGATTATTTCAACAAGTTATTTGCCTCACTATTTTCAGTTTTTACTTCTGTTGTTAAACATGTGGAGAAGTCTGGTAGAAATCACCTAAATTCCTGAGATTAAATATTGAATATTTCGTTTAGTAATGCTTTGAAATAAAATACCACCGTAAAGTTTTAAATTGAACTTTTTTGTTTGATGGATAATTTATTTAATAGCTTACTGTAACAGTGTAGTGTTTCAGCATGTCAATATAATTTTAAAGACATAGACATAGACAAAGATATTATCACTTCTTTTCAATTCCCTGGGGATAAAATGGAATGCTGAAAACAGTAAAAGGGGAACTGGTTTGTTAATAGGTCAAAGAGAACTGGAGCTGATTTGATGGACTAAAAAGGTGAGCAACTCTTCAGAATTATATTTTTCCATAAAAGAGAGTAAGGTTAACTGTATTGAACATGGGGTAAATGAAGCATTTGGAGTGGGAACAGTCTTTTCTGCTGCTTTTCTGAAGAAAAATAACAGGGACTGTATTTTATTTGAAAAAAAAATATCTGTGCTTTCACAGAAAGCTGATAGACCTTTAATAAATTATGTTCCATGTGTTAAAAAGTTTTAAACGTCTTCACAAATTAGCAAGGTATTCCTTATGAAGGAGTTTTTTAAGAGTTTGTAAAACATTTTCCTTTGAATATTCACTGAGCAGTTGTAAAGCCTTGCTCCAAAAACTAAAGGCACTTTGTTTGATATTAACTCAAGTTGATGATACATTTTATTTCTGCTGAATAAGGAAAATTGTGATTTTCTGGTGCTAATCATGTCTTTAACATGTGGTTCTGAAACAATCAACTGTGTAAAGATTTCTGCTAAAATGAAGGATGCACATCTTCACAGATTTTTCTCCTTGGATGTCATATTCCTTGTCTTTAGTTGTTTTTGCTTCCCTTACCTGATGTGTGGCCAACTATCAAAAGAAAGAAAAAAAGCATTTATTAATAACAGCCTTTTAACTTAACCAACTGGGGAGTTACAGTAAAATTAAGAAAAGACAAGGCACCTCACCAGATAACCTTCTACACTGCCACCTCAAGCACTTTTACAATCATAAGACAATACTCATGCTGATACAACTGCCAGAGGTTCTTGTTTTTAGATCATCACAAATGTGTAGTGTGCTGTGAAGCAGTGATCCTTCAGTAAGTCCCAAGGGAAGACTTATCTAAACCTAAAGTGTCTTTCATAAGGATGAGAGATTCATCACTACAATATCCATAAATTCTACATGAGGTAATTTAATTGATTCTGTGTTGTGACATTTTTAAAATACAGTGACTTTGAAAAGAAAAAAAGCATTTGGAATTTAAACCAGTCTTTATAAAAATCATTAACAACCTTATTGGGATCAACACACTGGCTTCATTGTTTCTTTTTTGTGAGGTGTATCTGATGATTTGCCATCTTCCTGGCAAAGGGAAAAAAGTATTACAATATACAAAATCTGAAACTTTAAGTCTTTGAGCTGCTTCTCCCAACTGGCTTAGATGTACTGTACTTCTTGTAGGAATCCACTTCCAAGAGTGATGCATTATACCCAGGTTCTGTACTTTTTTTATAACATTTATTTTCATAAGAGAAATTTAAGATGTAAAAACAATACAACTGCAAAAAGGAAATTAAGATTCTACAAGAGGATGTGATCACATATTGTTTTTTACAGTTTATGACAGATTTAATGTGATTCAATCTCACATAATTCTTACATTTCTGGAAAATATTTTAGTCATTCTTTTCATAAATGCATGAATATAATTCATATAATCTTAAGAGCAAATGTACAGCAACTTAATTATATTACCTTGTTATGCTTAAACATACTCTAGAGGCCAAAAGAAGGTTAACTTGACCAGAAAATAAGAAATACACTTTTAATTAAGAAAATAAAGAGAGTCTTAAATACCCATTGAAGGGGTATCTCAGAGATACTGTAATTTCTAAATTTTAACCAGAAAATATATATACTATATCTATATATATATAATTGGTAGTAATTTAGGTTATAAGTACTTGAATACAACACTGTACTTTATATTTAAGGTTAAAATTTAATTAAACATTTAATCCATCTTTAATTCACCTAGAAGTGGTGGTGTGATTGTATGATATAAATAATCCCAGTCCCTCTATTCAGATACTGTGCAAGTTAAAAAAATGGATTTGCTATACTGTAAATTTAAAATTATAAAACTATAAAAAAACTAAGTATACACTTTCTGACCAAGCTAACTCTGGGTAACCTGAACATCAAGACTAGGCAGGGGTATTATAAAAAAAAATCAAAAGGGTGAAGCATGTGCAAAATGTAAATCAAAATGTGTCCATTTGATTACCGTCAGCATCAGCATATTCCTAATTAGAATTTAAATCTCTTGGTCATGTCTGCAAAAGCTCTAAGCCATCATATTAGAAAAACCAGTACTAAAGGCTCTCCTGTCTTCAACCACCTCTCACCTTCACAAAGGCCATTTCCTTCTTCATTTCTTCTGGACCCAATAACTCTTGTATTGAAAGAAAAAAAAACATAACAATGCTACTAGACAAAATATGATTTTATAGTTTCAAAATCATTATTAAAGGATTTAATTTTCATCAGGGGCAGAAGGCAAGAAGATTTATGTTTCACAAAACATGGAAAAGGCTGATAGTTTTACAGTGCAACACAAGTGGTCCACACATGTTAGGCCCACGGGAACTGTTTTGTAGGCCACATTTCTGCATTTCTTCATCCCTTTTCAATGTCATACTTACAGCTGAAGAAACATTATTTCCTGCTTTATATAATATTCCCATAAAAATACTCAATCTGGGAGATGCCCTCTGAAAATCCTGCAGCTTCATGTTTAAATATTTTCTATTGCTATTGTTAATTCAATTTATATTACTTTTATTAAATATAATATTCTCATCGATGCTACAAACCCAAGTCTTGGATTAAAAAGTCCTGGTTGTGAGAATATTATATAAATTACCAGGTATTCTTTCAGATATTCTGATTCAACTCAGAATTGGGCAGTGCTTACATGCCTGTGGCCTTTAACATTTTCTAGCAATAAATGGGGCTGAAATATCACATTAAGAACTCCTCTTGAGTCTCCCCCAATCCAGCAATGTCTCCCATATTGGAAGATGAAATGCTTAAATATAATCTGGACAGTAAAAAGTAATATCCCAGTCTAAACCAAACTGATGTGACAATTGCAATCAAGATGCTATTTCACAAAACATCTGTATGCTTTCTACTGATATTCTGCTTCTGTAACTTTCATGTGTTTGCAAAACTAATTAATCTTAGAAACCAAGCATGAGAGTGCAATTTGACAAAGAAATGTATTCTAAACAAAACAGAAAAAGAAAAGATAATAAGAATGGAGCCAATCTACTGTACATTCTGTCAGTTTGATTATGGTACTGCTTATATGAAAGTGACCTTCATTTTGCCAGCACAGGTTGGGAGTTAGCTTAATTGACTAATGAAATGCCATCTGTAGTGCTGTTTTTGTAGACAATCATACATTCATGTTTCATAGTATTTTTTTCCTTCATTTGTACTGTGCATGCAGAGTTTTGTATTAGAATTAATTTTACATATTTACAGGTATGTTGCTTTACGTCACATGCATACATTTCAGTAAAGACGTAGAATTGTTTTACCTGGAGTGCAGATACATTCTTGTTTTATAAACTTCAGGAAAAAGCTTGGTACAGTATATTACTAATATAATATTGTAACGCAACGGGGGCTCAGGCGGGCGCCCTTGCCGCATCTGTTCGGCCCCTGCACCGTCCGGGGCTCGAACCCGGGACTTCCGCGTCTCTCTGCAGCGACCTAGCCCCGTGAGCTAAAGAGAGATCTCTCCACAGCCCAGTAGCTGTGGTCCTGCTATCACAGGGAAGGGCGGTGACGTCACCCACTCTGGTACGCCGGCTCTTACACACAGTACTTGTCGGCCATAAGTGTTACACTCTCCCCCGCTTAAATCGCCGTCCCCGGCGAAGGGCTATCCCACCCCGCTTCTGACACCAATGTAACGCAACGGGGGCTCAAGCGGGCGCCCTTGCCGCATCTGGTCGGCCCCATCCCGACTGGAGGCTCGAACCCGGGACTTCCACGTCTCTCTGCAGCGACCCAGCCCCGTGAGCTAAAGAGAGATCTCTCCACAGCCCAGTAGCTGTAGTCCTGCTATCACAGGGAAGGGCGGTGACATCACCTGCTCTGGTACGCCGGCTCTTACACAGTACCTGTCGGCCGTAAGCGTTACAATATATTAGTAATATATCACTAATTGCTAAATATTAAATGTTAGCAGCTAAGAACTGTGTTAAAAATGAACATTTGTATATTGATTTTTTCTAAAACCTGGCCCTGATTTAAAAAATTTCCTAGATTTTGTCTTATTGTTTTCTCGATAAATTAAGAAAAACAGAGCTCATATTAAAATATAATTTTATATTCATTTCAAATTAAATCTAGCTGTATATTATTTGCTTTAATGTTTAATAGAACATTATTTATTTTTCATTAATCAGGAATGAACACTACAATACAACAATGTTACAATAAAAGTGAATTTAATAAAATCTAAGTTGCAAATGTCATATGTCTTAAAACAATTACAATTTAAACTAAAATCAATAGAATTCAGGTGTTGCAAATACGTTTATCACATATGTTTATTATTTCTTCTTCTTTTCTTCTTCTGTACTGTATTTGTCTTCAAGCAACATTAGATAACAAGATTAGAAACAGTGAGACTCACTGTATATCTATCTTGATTTGTCCAACTTTTTTATGTAGTCTGCAACCTAGCAACCTAGAGTCTTTCCAAATGTGGTCACCTGCCCTATCCACCAAACCTACACACTCAAATTAAACCAAGGTAAAAGTACCAAATTTGATTTCAGACACTCAGTGCGTGTGGTTTTGCAATTTAATAGTGCATGGCACTTCAAAAATCAACATTTGACTGTTTACTATATGATACTTAATTTACTGATGGGCTCTTGTCTCTGGTCTAATCCCATGTGAAACAGTTTTGCAGCAGAGAAAAAAAACAGTTCTCATAGATTGTGAGATGCTGTTAAGCCTCTAAACGCCTTTAGTACGGTGCATTATTGCTCTAAACAGGTTTTGTTTTCTTATTGTAAAAGTTTCATGTCCGCACCACAAAGGTGAACTATTTTGCAGAGTGGATTTAAAAATGACATAATAAATTTACTTACAGAGTACAGTTACAGTTAGTGAGAAATAATTCCCTTACATTTCTGAGCTATAATAAAAAAGCTTTTTCTAAATTGTATTTTCTTATAAAAGAAGTAGACAGATTTCACATGAACATACTTTAAGAACTGAAAGGTGATGTCAACAATAAAAAATAACATTTGTACTTTCATGCATTCTAACAAATTAAATTAAAATGTAAGTAAGCAGAATTGAAGTACTGTTTACTAATACTCAAACTCATTACACAACACTATTTAAAACAGAATATATATTCTTCTTTTATAATTATAGGATTAAGAGACCATAATATGAAATAATCCACAAATAATCATTTAACTTAACACTGACATACATTAGGTCATAAAGGGCTGAAATCCTTCTGGTTGTTTAATCTATCTTGAGTTTTAAAGCATATTATTCAATGAGTGAAGTACAGTATGTCCTTTTTGGTCAATCTTTGGATAGAAGCAAGTGATGGATAAGTGACCGGTAAAACCATCAAAAGCAGGCACTCCAGTACTGGACAACCCTTAATTATCTCACTACAAAACAGGTAAAAATATCTAGAAGAAAATGCAAATATTTAATACATGCAAAAACTGAAAAATTAAAAACAGTAGAATTTAATCTCATATACAGTGGATTTACTTTGATTAATAAAATTACCTTTGAGTAGGGAAACTGAGTACAATTATTTATGGTTTTCTTTTGGGTTGGATGAAAGACTTTATTAAATTGCTATGATTTAAAAGAACTTTGAAATATAGTGATAGCATTACTAATATTTAGCATATCAGCAGACATCAAATATAATTTTGGTTTAGTAGTACCAGTTTGCTATCTTTTAACTGTCCTAAGCTGCATCATTTTACACTTATGTACAGTAGAAAACTATTAGTATGTTAACAGTGTATTCAAGCTGTTTTTTTATATTTTGTAAGATGTATATGTATTATATATAAGTCCACACTTCAAGTATACTATAAAATTCTAATTATGGGTATATATTGCTAAAGCAAATTGTTATTTTTTTTCTGTGTTCTGTGAAGACATTATACAGTATGACATTTAATTTTACCCATTAATCAGAAATTGTAAGTACAAATCAACTGTCCCTTACGTCCTGGTGGATTAAACATCTGTACTAACTTTGCATTCTGACTCTGTTTACTACAGGACATTTTTAGGTATGCAACACATACAGTATTACACCCATCTGAATCAGATAAAGGCTTATTCCTGATATTGGCTGTGACAACCCTTAGCCTCTGAAAGGTTCATAGACATGGGGTGCAAGACAGACTACACTCTGGACACCAGTAAATTGCAGGGCACACACATACACATCAACAAAGCACAGACACTAATTGACCTAATTAAGTCAGCATGTTTTTGCTAGGAGAAATACAGCACCTGGTAAAAGAAGAACATGCAAACTCCACAAAGAAGGAGGAATCTTCATTTACACTATTGTAAAGGTAGTAGGAGATGTACTGACAATACATTGTGAGTGCAGTACACTTTTCTCTCTGCATACAACTTCTCACATATATTCTGAATCCATCATTTCCTATTTTTAATTATATGCAAAAATACCATTAAAAATATCATACGTGTAGATGTTTTGATGGCATCTGAGCCACAGTGCATTCAATTTCGCTTTCTTTATCAAACTATTATGTCTTTTGTCTGGAACTATACGCATGCTGCACAGTGTTGATTTGTTTGATGTGTACACTTTAAGCTTAAAATGCAATAGAGGTGTTAAAATAAAACATGCAGTGCCTTGTCCATAACCTATTCATGAAGTGAAAATGTATATATAAATATATGTATACTGTTAATTTAAACTTAAAGTAACTATTTTAATATTTTTACAATAAAATTGATTACTGGGGTTAGCCAGTTATGCTACACTTCTATGCTCAGTAAAAATTAACTCTGTGTTTGTCAGTCTGGGTAAATTGTTAAGTTCATCATCTGTACCACAGGTGTGAGGGGATGTTGTTTTTAAATAGGGGTTGCCTACCTGTGTAGGCAGGTTGCTAGAGTATGAATCTCAACAGGGAGCCATGTTTCATTACACTTCTGCTAATGTTAAGTTTTCTCTCTAATTCCACACTGTCTCTATAGCTATGGATGTCCTTTACTTTTGAACCCTTAAAACCTTTTTATCTTAAAACCTCCTGACCCAATGTGGATAATTGTTTATGTTGCTGATTTATTTTGCATTCTCACCAGAATATTATTATTAATTAGATTACAAAGTAAGAAAGAAGATGCCACTATCAATTTGAGTATCAAATTTAGCAGGTTTAATAATAAAGGATGATAGTTATGAAGAGCATTATGGTAGTCTCCTTGCTCTTTCTTGTTCTTGTTTCTTTTCCAACCTTTGTCTTTGCAACATCTGAAGAAATGTTTAACACCATCACGTTGCCCTCTGGAATTTCACTTGACTGAACCCAGTAAATAAAACCACTTTAAAATCTACACAGTTCACTAGGTTTCTTGTCAGGCGTTTTGGGGATATGTAATGTGTTTGTATTTTTATTGTATTGGTATAGGGTTGCTAATATTATTTTCAGCAAATATTGGTAAAATGTGTAATATACTAATAGGCTTCTACTGTATGCATTTGTCAGTGAATGTTTTTGAAAAATGTAGTAATAAGGATTACACTAGCTTTGTAAAATGTACTTAGAAGTTTGTAAGAAGACACTTCCTTGCTGTCACTGATCAATAGTGAAAAAGTGGAAAGACTGCAAGTAAATGAAACGAGTTAAAATTCCTCTTTCAATTTTATTTTATGTTCTTTCCATTATTAGATTACCTCCTAACTAAAAAAATGTTAAAGGTGATATCTAAAAATAAGACTTAGTGGATTAGTGGATTTGACCCACTTTGCCTAGCTTAATTGAACCTTGCTTCCAAATTGCAGCTATCAACTCTGATCTTATCAGATCTCAGAAAGCAAGCAAACCTGAACCTAGTCAGCAGTCAGGTTGGAGACATGAAGGAAAATTAGACTGCTGCTTGATATCGATTTATTGGACCAGTTCATGGCTCTCTTCCCACTGGAGCAGAAACCCTTCAACAATGCACAAATGCAGTGCCCTCCAAAAGCATCTGGACAAAAAGTTTAAACTGGGAATTTCACTATGAACTCTCAAACTATTTTTTCTTATGAAAAATGAAGACTGATTAGTACAATTCCTATTTCAGTTTTTTGGTCAAATTACAATTTCAATTAAATGAGCTAACAAATATTGTATAAAGGGCTAGTGAAAGTCATACTTTAGAGTTTAGTGTTAACTCATCTGACTGAAGGGATGGCAGCCCTGAAAATAAGGTCAGAGCTGTCACTATCCCTCTCAGTTACAAGGAATGAACCACGAAAGGTGCTGCAAAGGTGAAGATGCACAGGAGGGAGATATGCTAGAAAAGATGTGTGTTGAGTTGTGGACAGCAGGCTAATATTTATAGTTAATATATACAGAGCAGTAAAAGATTACAATTTGACCTCTCCTCAAAC